ACACACAAACATACAGAAACTCTCTGCTGGCATGGGTGGATGTTATTTATTTCCCTGAGTTTAGTTTTCCAGCCAGAAAGACAGTAACCTCATCTGACCACTAAAAGAGACCCACCAAAGGAAACTCACAGGCCAAACTTAGGAACACACACCACAAGTTAGGGGCCAAAACCCAAAGGCAAGGATTGCAATGATGCTTTAAGCGTTACTGTTACTGTCACCTTTGGTGATTTGAAACTCTGAATTATTCTTTAAAAATCATTTGTTTGACATTTTACCAACATTGATGAGAAGATATTTGTTTTCTTCCGCATGGTTCCACTACAGAGATAAGAGCAAAGACCTCTTTAGCCGAGCTTAGCTCAAAGAGTGTTAGCAGCTGGACACTGCAACCAGTGCTCCAACAATATTACAACAATGAAAATGTCCCTCAGTATTCAGTAAATCAGACCTGTTTTTGATTTATATGTGACGCCGGATTGCTTGTTACAGGATGGCTCATCAACACGGCCTCCTTAACCACATACAATCCGCTGTGCTTAGTGTAGGTGTGTGCAGTGATGAACATGTGTGTGCTTGCCAGAGAGAGCATTTACATACGGTACTGAATGAAACAAGCTTGAGATTATATATATATATATATATATTGTGTTTTAAATAAATACAACAAGAGCACTATATGTCCATATAACTGAATATAGTTATAAGACTGTGATCATTGTGAGAGGGAGAGGAGGCAGGGGGGTAAAAGGAGAGAGGTGGAATGGATCCATGGAAGAAGGATTAGTACTTAAAGAAATGAAAGAGAAGAAACACTGATCATAGAATTCTCATTAATGAGTGAAAGGACAAAGAGGGATAGATGCTTCAAGAGATCGTGAATCCAGAGCTCTGAAGGGACCACTACATCAAAATTATTCTCATGATATTATTATCCAAAATAATCTCCTAAAGTCTACTGTGAGAGTGAAATAAAAGGGAGATTGTTTTATCTTGTACCGATAGCTAGTTAAAAAGTATTAATGTACTTGTTAATGTCACTGAAAAATATGTTATGTAGTTATTGAAGAGACAACGACAAAGTATTTATCTGGAATATCTGAAATGGAGGGTAATCCTGCTTCACAAAATATCACACAAAGCAGACTGAGAAGTTGAAAAGTAGGTGAAATAACATCAGTAAGTCAGACCTTATTGGCTACTAATTATAAGCAACGTTTTAGAAGTTATTTCATGGTACAATCCGTCATCTGGCTTAATGAACAAATCCTACATCTTGACATTTAGATTCTCTCTGCACTCTCCATGAAAATGGAAAGAAATTGTCCTTTTAAAGTTTTACACGTATTGATTTTTGTCTCGTAATTGATTCAGAGGATTTAACTTCTATATATAATTGAATTAATTTTCCTCAGGGACGTTTATTAAATTTTTCACTGTGGTCAAATGAAAGAGAGTATATCTCATGCAATCATATTGCAATGGAGTAATAATTGTAAGATTGCTGTACTGTATAGTATGCCATGTGCTGTAATGACGTTGCCTTGGGAATTTGTTGGTGATTCCCACTCTGAAATATAATGAAGAAGTTTCTCAGTGCGAGTGTTTCCTTATTGTTAACTGTTTATTGTACTCTTCTAATCAGACTCCAGTCTGTGTTCTTTCTGACGTAGGGTGCCCCAGTAGATCACCTTAAGCCTGACGTCATGGTTTGAATCCGGCTGAGGGTCATTTGTTGCATGTCATCCCATCTTTCTCTCCCCTGACTTTCCTGTCTCCCTCACTCACATTTACAAATAAAGCAAAAAGGCCAACAAAAAATCTGCAATCCTTGAGCACAAATAGTTTTATGCCATTAAGTAATTGCCCTTCAACTTTTTGAATATATAAAGAGTAGTTGTCTAATTGTCTCCATTATCGATTGCGGACCAAAATAAATTTCAAAAGTTCTGACAATGAAAACAATAGGCAGTACATGTATTGAGTCAGGCAGGCGAAAACATTGTCTCAAATATTGTTCTGTCAGGCACCACTCAGCTGACTGGTGGTCTCTATCATCGGTTTGCACCTGCAAAATAGCTTCCAGAAGACATTTATATTGCCAGAACCAACATTTAGTATAACTATTTAAGCCACACTAGTGATGGTCGGTGAGCGGGTCTACCACTTTGGTCCAGACTCAACTATTTCAACAACTATTAGATGGATTGCCATAAAACCTTTGTACGGACACACTCTGCTATCTAGTGGACGACGCATACTGAATTTTCCTCTACTGCCACTATGAGGTTGATATTTATGGTGTTCAGTCAAATGTATCATGAATTGCCATGCAGTGTACAGGCATTAATGTCCCCCTCAGGAGGAATTGTAAAAACAAATTGGTGATGTTAAGATCCCTTAGTCTAATGTTTCACCTAGTCACAGTTTTTATTCCTCCAGTACTTTCTTTCATAATCAAACACTGTGCTTATTAGCGTGCTAACACATCAAATTTGGAACCAAACGATGTTACGTTCACAAAGAAGCAAGACAAATAACTTCTTCTGAAATGCCCCAAGTGTGGTGCTACAATATGGCATTCAGCTCGATGCAAATATCTGCTGAATTATACTTATCCCATCTGCTCAAAGGGGGCAGAGGGGAATCTGGCATCGGAAGAGACCCTGGACAGAAAGAGAGACAACTGGAGTCACACACAAAGACGACTGGAGGGGAGTGGTGAATTGGGTTGGAAAGACAGTGGAGAACAATCTGAAAGTAATCTGGACACTCCAGATGGTTTGAAGTTTGTGTGTGTGCGTGCGTGCATGTGTGTCTTGGTGTGCGTGTGTGAGCACATGTACATACAGTATGCACGTCTCTGTTCTTGCCAGCCTGTCCACTTAAGCCTGTGTGAAGGTATTTACGTGTGTTTGTGTGTTTTGTGTTACTTCAGACAAACAAGAACATCTGGTATGTGCACAATGTGGACGTTTTGATCTCATCTTGATTGGAAAAGACAACCACGGAATCCCATGCATTCATATTTTGTTAGCATTTGCTTGACTAGATTGTGACCTAGTAGATAGTTGTCATGAGTGTATGACACATTTTTTCTTTTGTGTGTGTGTGTATGTGTGCGTGTGTAGGTGTTCATGAAAAACAGTGTGTTTACAGTGATATAAGGTTAATAAATCAATAGCCATCGCTATCTGAGAAACAATTACTGCTGCCTTTCATGTTGGTCTCACACACACATGCACACACACAGACACGCACACACATTGCTCTACGTGCCCTGTATACTGGAGGAGCTTAAGGAGTAAACTGTATAAAGTGTTTCTCGAGGAGAGAGTAGCAGAAGATGAAAGATGGAGGGAAGAAGTGCAAGGAGAGTTTGTAAATGAGGAGAGGAGTAGATGCACAGAAGGTTGAGACATGCATGTAGTATGCCATAGGGGTGGTACCTTCAACCTTGATTTTTTTTTAATTGTTTTTATTATTATTTTGTTTGCAGTTCTGGCTTTTACATGGTGCTGTACTTTTTTCATACAATACTTTTTGTTTCCCGTTTGTTTTTTCTTTCTTCAATGTAAGCTACATTGGTTAGCTTTCACAGGCTTCTTCATGTGGTCAGTGTTGTTCTACTCTAGCTCGTGTTCATCTTTCTCACTCATCTTACTTTAGCTGCTTTACGTTTTGCTCTGCCTTTGTTGAGTTCTGGCTCTGGTTTGTTGCAGTTGCGGCAGTTACATGTATAGCTTTGACCAGATTTGTTACACATTAGCCTAGCTTTTGGCAGCTTTAAGAGCTGCTTTATTACTAATTTACAGTTTTTTTGTCTCTCGCTCAACACAGACAGTTAACAGCTGTTCATGAATTCTTCAAAACCTACAGTAGCCAGCTGTATATAGTCTTTTCTTATGTGTATGGGTGTGTGCAACTACGTATGTCTCCTGTGAAGTATGGCCATACATGCATATACAAGTATTCAGCAGCAACTGACACCCAGCGGAAATGTCGAGATCCAAACATACTGCTCAAACAGCATAAAGGTGGTGGAAGAGAGATCAAGCAGTTGTACTCTACATCGGGTCATATCCCACCTCATCATAGTGTCAGCTGAGACATTTTTCCTCTATGGCAATGAGGTTTCTCTAACTTTAAAATCAATTTACATAAGGTTTTAGTTCCATAATAATAATCAAACTTTAACCTTCTAGCAGACCATATTTTGAAGAAACTAATATTATGTGTGATACATTAGATCATTTCAGCCATTTCATACAGTGATGGGCAGCATTTTTGAAAAACACGTTTTTGCCCTCAAAACACAAGTAGCTGCATATGAGCTGGCTTCGTTTGTATGCGTGCATGTGCATGTCCATGCAGTTAATGTTAAAGATATATACATGTAAACTCTATGTTCAATGTGACCCGAACCCCCTAACCCTAAAACCTGCAGTGTGTATTGTCTTTGGATTATTAATGAGTGAGCGATGTGATCACATGGTACATAAGCTGTTAAAACACCACCATACAGTATTCTGTGTATGTTTAAGTGTGTAGAGGTGCGTGTGTCATGGGATGTTATTTCTGCTCAGAGATCAGTATAGATCGCAGCACTTACATCTAAATAATATACAGAACTGTATGTACTCCTATTCAGGCTCTGCATGACAGTTTCACATGCCATATGCGCTGGTGTCATGCGAGGCTGTGAGGCATGTGTTGCATTGTGTTGGAGTTGCATGTGAGGACAGGTGCTTGTTACACTGTAACACTTGGCGTGGCACAGTGAATTATATAAAACACAACCTATTAAATTATTTGTAAAGATGTTGGAGGATATATGATAAAACATGTATGATTAACTTTTATCTATACATTCTCTGTCTTGACAAACGTTCAAGACAAACAGCTGTACCTTTGAAATCTGAAGTATGCAAGGCAGGACTGCAAAGCATGGTTTTACATCCAACCGAAATGATATTATGTGATGCAGGAGGCAGATTTGAGATCCGGATAATCTAATATGATTTTGTCTCGTCTCTCTCTTCCAGCTGAATCTTGTGGTGGTGTAGTCCAAGGACTGAATGGCACCATAGAGTCGCCGGGTTTCCCCCACGGCTATCCCAACTACGCCAACTGTACATGGCTGATAATAACAGGGGAGAGGAACCGAATCCAGCTAACCTTCGTCACGCTGGCTCTGGAGGAAGACTTTGATATTGTATCAGTTTACGATGGACAACCATCACCTGGCAACTTAAAACTGAGGTTAGAAATGATTCTTTCATTTACAGTGTGATCTTCTCTCCTGCTCCTCTGTTGTTCTCCCTCTTTCCTCTTTCACTTCAAACCTCTCTGACTGTCACAGTTTGAGTATAGCCGTCCCTCTTCTCCAGCACCATCTACCTCCGCTGAACAGAAACCTGACATTGGGACACCAACGTTGAATGCTTGTTCCTCCCTAGTTGCGGAATGACACGTGTCGGCCTTAATTTGTGTTTTTTTATAAGCATTTCATATGCAGAAGTAGTTTAAAAAAAGGACACCAGTTTTCGTGCATGGTTTTCTCTTTTTTCCCGGGGACCAAAGAAGTTTGACAAATACATTGAGATTCAACAAAGCATGAACTTTGACATAGCAACGGTTGGGAAAACCAGGGGATTAAAAACGTAATCTATAACACAATACACTGGAATATACAGGCTGTTAGTCTTTTCTTCAACAGAAATTAACTAAATTTCTTTGCATGGCCTTGAGCTTATCAAGGAAAGTTCAACAGTTTAATTTAGGCTACAGGGGCTTCTGATAAACCATGTGGGCCTGTGAACCAGCATGCCGGGCTTGTTCCATTGTACCTATGTGTTACAGAACAGTGGGAAGAAATAAAGGCCCTCCTAAAGGCTATGGCAAATATAATGAAAAGGCTAAAATATACTTTGCTGCAAAGGGTAAAGATTTAACTTCTTTGTAAAAGATTAATCTGAAGATGGAGCGAGGCAGAACAGAAATGGGTTTCTTTATTGCATGCATTATAGGCTATGCATTTCAAACTGAGTTCTCTCTCTCAGGTTAAGGCTGTTAAAATATGTGATCATATCGAGGAGCGTAAATGACATAAGAACAACGAGGAAGAGCAGGAAAGAAAGTAGATAAAGTAAAGCCTATACTATAATCTGTATAGGTTGGAGGGAAAAAGAAACATATCTTTTACAATTCAGGATTTGTTCACAAATTCCAAAACTTTGACGGCATTAATAACAGCTACTAACTAGTATGACATAAGAGATATTGAGTTTTTTAAAGCCCAAAGTGACGTCCTCAAACGTCTTGGTTTTTGCGACAAACTGTCCCGAATCTAAAGAGATTCACTTAATAATTGTATAGACTAACAAAACCACAAATCATTTATTCATTTGAGAAGCTGGCACCAGAGAATTTCTTTTTTTTTTTTCTCAAAAAAAATAGATTTTAATTGTGACTTCAACACTGTTGAACTCAAAAACATAAGGCAAATGTGGGGTAGTCACACATTCTTTAGATGTTGAAAACCTGACATCGTCAGTTTGCGGTTAAACTGTAGCTAATCTATTTAGTGGGTCATTTAAATCTTTAAATCTCTTATTTGTTTATCAACAAAAATGTGCAGGGAAATATAAGTCATTGAATGATTGGCAGCACCAGTATTTGGTGAGTTGTAGGACTGTAATTTTGCAAAAAGGGGGCAGATAGAACAGCATCTACAGAGCTGGCAAACTGTGCGAAGCTTATTCATAGTGCTCGGCTTGTGTGTAGGAGGGACGAGCTGGGAATGCACCAAGTAGTGTTTGAGGTTGGTGGTGCAGTTATGGATAACTGTGGGTTTTTCTTTGAAAACGTGATGTAGCTGTATTATGTGTCAGCGTTTGAATAGAACACTTTTATTTTCTACTGGCTAGAGGAGAATAGTGGAGACTGCAGAGTGTACTTAGCGGTGAGTTTGTGTGGACACCTAAAGCAAGTATGCCATCTTTAAGCCTTCGTTATGTCTCTCGTTTGCTGCTTTGCAAAGCCAAGGCTGCAGTAAAGACAGTTCATTGTAAATATCATTATGTGAGCTAAATCAACGTAGAGGTAAGTCCAGTATTCCATCTTGAAACACTGTATTAAAGTGTACTCTATATTCATAAATGAACCATGTGCTTTTCATCAGTCATATGTACATCATTTCTTAATAGAAGTATGAAAGAGGATTTAGATTATCGTGGCTCTGGGAAATTCACATTTCCAAGTGTTTGAGACTGTTAGTTGTGATGAGAAGCGTTTGTTTGTGGCACACAAGCCTCCTTTGTCTCTTGACATTTACTCAACAATTACTTTGATGTGTGAATACATACAACCTTTTTTTTTTGTCAAATTAAATCCCAAAACTCAACTCTGAATTACCACCCTGATCTGTTCAGCATGATGCTTGTCATACGTATTTAGTGTAGGTTATTATAACAGCTCTTTGGGGAGCTTGAGCTCACCCGCATCATTCAGCTTGTGTTTTAGATCCACACGAGCCATTAGGGTCAATACGTTTAGTTTGGGCTTATGTTATTCTTCACTGTACTCGTCCTTTACAATGTTTATTTCCAAAATGTCAGAATGTGTCTGTGAAATGACCTTGAAAAGCTATTAAGTATACTAAAACAAATGAAGAGAAAGTGATACGATATCTGAAATGTGAAAACAAATGTGAAATTCCCCAATATATTATAAACCACAATTGATTTTTTTTATACTTCATTTCTTCAACACTCATTTTATTAAATCATCTTTCTCTCTTTCTGTCTTTTTTCCCTTTTCTTTCTTTCTTTTACTTGTCAAAATCCATCCTTATTCAACTCACTGCCTCTGCTGTGATCAGTTTAGGATCAGCCATGCAGTTTAGTTTAACTAAAACAAAAAAGATTCTCTTAAAAACAGGTTTATCTTCTCACCAGGATTCCTTGGTTTAGCTTTGTGTTCTACAGGATGTCTACTTGATTTTTTACACTTGAAGACAGCATAACGAAAGATAGCTTTAAAAGCACTAGTCCTTCAAATTTCATGTCACGATCAATCCCTCTGAATCATCACTTATGATCAACTACAAGTGTGTTGCAGTGTCTGTATCTGCAGAGACCCTGCCCTCTGCTACTATTTTCTCTTTCCTCCATATTTTGCTGTGTTCATTTGGGTGTCAGCTTTGGGCAGTGGGTGGGAAGCCCCCAGCCAATAACAGTGCTCAGGTAAGGTTTGGACTTTATCAAATCGTAGCGACCGACTCACATTGCTGTCTCCATCTCTCTGTCTTCTGCTCTCTGTCTGTGTCATGGATCTTTAAAGGGCTGCAGGTCTGTTTGACCCAGAGCGGGGTACACACTCACACACATACAGGCAGAGCAGAGAGGCCACAACACAGCGCAGTCGAGCGGACAGGATAAAGCATTTGCTTCCGCTGCATTCATTGAAAATCCAGCGACGCTGCAGTCTGTTTGAAATGTTGAATGCAGTTTATTGCTGCTTATTTTAGGACAATTCATCAATTTGTTTTTATAAAATGGTTGATGTAGATAACTGCAGTAGTAAGTGAGGTGTCAGCTGCAACCCTTTGCCAGCTTGTCGGATTTGCCTCTGGTGTTAATTAGCCCTGGAGATATTTGGCACCCGCATTACCGGCTAGCCACCCAAGCATACCAGGTGTATTTAAAGTATTTTTTTCCGCTGCAAGCCCTCAGATGTACAAGTTCTGTAGAGGAGTGGTGCATTAGTTTCTTCTAGACTAGAGCTTCTGCCCTTAAGTACAGTCAATGAGCGCTAACAGTGAACCTATTCCCAATGTCATTTAGAGCAAGTGACTAAGCTAGGAGTTGCGGTCTCATTCTGTACTCGGCTCAGCTCCTCTGTTGATGGAAGCACTTCTCTGAATGGTGTGGACATGCAGCATGACAGGCAGCATAGTGCTGAAATGAGAACACTGGTCGGCCTTCTTCTGTGCCCTCAGGTCTGGCCTGGTGTGTGTCACTGTGGGCAAACCTTCAGTCCAGATTGTAAGGCTTCCTGGTAGCTATTACCATCCCCCCTTTGCTTGTTAGAGTGCAAGTTATATTTTTACATAAATGTGAGAGCTGATTCCAATTATCCAGCTTCTGCCTTTTCTCTGTCTGAGCCCTACGAGGGCAGTGGTCAGTCGGTTGACCTAACACACTCTCCTCCTCTCAGCTTCTGGCTGAATGGTGCAAGACTTGCTGATATGAACCCATCAGGCTGCCCACATGAACAGTGGGATGGAGCCAAGAGGAGCTGACTGCTCTCTCTTTGTTCACAAAGAGGAGCACAGAAGAGGCAGGATATATCTTTCTCTCACAGCCATCCCTCCAACTGCCCTCTGACCTGATGTGTGGGGAATGCTGCAATCTCATATGTAGAAGAAGGGCTGATCCGGCATCTGTGGCCTCTTCTCACCAGCCGCAGCGCTGCATCAGCAGTGGTAACTCCACTTCATCCCACTCTCTCTGATGACAGATGTCAACAGTGTAAAAATATTTATTTCTGAAATGGAAAAGCTTCTCTCATACAGGAACCACTGCCTGCTCTTTGCCAGTGGTTTACAGTGTTCAAGAAAGACAGTAGTGAAAGTCCACATTCCCTTAGTCACAGTTTGTTGAAGTGGTGAGTTGAGATGCACCGTACTTTGACCAAACTGTTTTGCACATACTGCCCATATTGAAAATATAGAAGGGGTTTGAAAAGTTCCCAAGGGATTTTTTATTATTTATTCGTCATTGAACAAGAAACATAAAACTTTTTACAGGCGTCACTCAAGCCTACAGGTTGTTAGTGAGGGAGACTCAAAAGATGGACTTGCCTTTTAGTATCACGAGTATCATAATATTTATTGCAGTTATTGGTGTATTGGCTGTCTCTGATGTAATGTCTGGCTTCTGTAAAGTGTCCTAGTTCTCTTTCTAACACATGCTTAATACAATTTGTACAGTTTGTCATATTCACTGTCTAAAAGACTTTTTAAATCCTCTACCATTTAAGACTGTCTGAGCCTTTGTCACATCCAGGTGTCACTGGGAATGTGACATGTTAGTCGGGGATGTGGTGATTAAAAGGAACTTTGTATCCTGCTGCTGAACTCTTGTGTATGAATTTGAGAAGTTTTATTGTCAGAGGTTAGAAATGTGAATTTTTTCATTTTCTGTGGCGGAAATTGCTGGCCGCTGTTGATCTTTTCTTACAATCCCCAGCCCCGCTGA